GGTTACACTTAATATATTGGCTTTTAATTGTAGGCTCAACTCATCTTTTCACCTGCAGAAATAATCACATTAGTGAGTTTACCCAACTCCTATAATTGCTTGGAAACTGTTGACACATTGTTTTTAAGTTTTAGCAAAGTAACACATTCTTGAGTAGAGGAAAACAAAAAAAGTAAGTTTCACCAACTCTTTGCAAAAAATGCAAAAGTTGACTAAACTCTTAAAATTGCTTGGAAACTGTTGACACATTATTTTTATTTTTTTAACAGCAACAGTTTTTACAGTGTATAACACACTAAAGGGTAAGGGAAAACCCCAAAAAGCAGCTTAGGTAATGAATGAATAAGTGGGATAATTTTCTCATAGACTTCAATACAATCATAGCTTTTGCATCGAGTTTAGTTGCCCCCTGCTGGTCATTATAAATAATGCATGTTAAAGGCCCTACAAATATGGTTTTAATTTCATTGAGTTGAGTGGTCTCGCCATAGAGAACCTTAGTGACGCATCCTAAAACCCGGAAGTAAGTTAGCATTTTTACCACGTCCGGTTCCTTCGATAAAAAGCAATGCAATTTCTCCATAGGGTTTTGGAAAATAGCTCCAAATAAGGTCTGTGTTTGACACAAATTGAAGAGACAGATCACGTTTTGTTCTACGACATTAAATACATCAGCAGTGACCCCGCTGGTGATTTCTGAAGAGTTTACGTGTCTGAAAAACGATGGTTGTTACCAAGTGGCTGAATAGGACTACAGAAGTTGTCCAGGCCGTTTTACGTCATTACACCGAACACGTAAAACACTCCTGCTAAATTTGTTTGCCCTGTTCTGCTTGAAAGCAAGTACCTGCCTCCTGCAAACTGTTCAAACAAACACTTCAACTTGTACCATTTACAATCTGTAGTTTTGAATATGGATCTTAAGTTGGTGTGACGTTGAAGCAGCGACCCAGTTCCTTTATAGCATAATGTTAGCATTTTGCTTCTGGCGACTAGATTTATGCTTAGAAAATTATAAAAGTAGGATAGACATGTGGATATTATCCGGCTGAACAAAACGTGATCCGTCTCTTAAATGTGTGTCAACCACAGACCTTATTTCGAGCTATTTTCCAAAATCCTATGGAGAAATTGCATTGCGTTTTTGACGAAGGAACCGGAAGGAGTTTACATCCGGGTTTACATCCGGGTCACTGCGGTTCTCCATTGCTTGGATACAAACTCACTATAGACTTTCTGTTATTATACAGTCCAGCTTTAACCATACGCCTCTGCTCTGTGCTGGAGCTATACGATCATCCGTTGTCACCATCTGTGCTATGTATATCCTGGAGCAGGAGTAAGAGAAAAGGACAGTGCCGAGGCAGAGGAACAGGGATGGGGGGGAGTCGCTGTGTAGCTGCTGGCTAAAAGGCACTTCATGGTCTATTTATATCAGATAATTCTGTTCCTAAACTCACTCAAACTCTGCATACACAGACATTTAGTTTGAAGGACTTTTTTTAATAGAATGTCCAACAAAAATTACAAACTGTGTTAGACTTTGTTTTCCCACATAGTGAGTGCAATCATTTTAATGTGAATAGTTTGTTGCATAAAGTAAGAGCAGCATGTAGATGGTAATTTGATCACAGATGCTCTTTTCTTTGTATGTGTGTGTGTGTGTGTGTGTGGTGTATTGGACATAGGCCTGCAGGAGACACAAGCAGGCTTTCCTAGAGGGGATAAAGGAGAATGACGCTTATAAAGCGCAGGGTGCTTTAAAATCCACTAGTTCTTCTCATTTATGCTTATCTGGCTGACGGCTGTGTAAATGGCTTTCTGTTGAAGGAGAGTCCCCTGGGGGAACCGTTCCACTCAGAGACAGTGACAGGCCGGTAATGCCGCCTCGCCAAACCCCCCCCTCCACACCTCCATCCACCCAAACACCCCTCGCCAAACCAGCCCAGACAAACATCTTGATTGTAATTGAATTTTTGGGACGGGTGCTGTGTGACGAGGACGGATTGGGAGAGAGAGACGGAGAGAGAAGGGAAACTGAGGAGGATGATAGAGTGATGGAAAGGTTGGAGCAGTGACAGGGGTTGAGATTGAACTGGATGGAAGAGGAAATAGCATGGTGTTGTATAGGAAAGAAAACGACAAGGACAGAGAGGGAGCTGCTGGGGAGAATCTTAGTTCCTGTGCTGAATTCTTAAAGCTCATGAAATGTACATACCTGCCCTGTATTATTGAGTCATTCTTAAAGAGGCCCTATTGTGTTTTTTAGGGTTTTCCCTTTCCCATAGTGTTTTCTGTAGGTGTTTGTGCATGTAAATGGTCGGCAAAGGCTAAAATCCCAATTGTTACATTTACTTGTGTTTTTTATCAAATCAAATCAAGTTTTATTTATATAGCACATTTATAAACGATTTTTGGTCGAGCCAAAGTGCTGTACATAAAATAAAAATAGCCTACAGTAGAGACACTTTACAGCAAATACAACAGCACAGATTGTTCAGAATATCAGTATGAGAAAAACGACACCCTCTATCCTTAGACCCTCACATCGTACAAGGAAAAACGTCCAGAGAAAACCCACAGTTTAAGGGGAAAACATTGTTGGAGATTAACAGAGAAATAGGCTCCGTTTTGGCTGCTTTGACTGCCGTCTAGTAGTCGGAAAGGCAAGCACGAAGGATTTCTAAGGAGACATGGAGTTTATCCTTTTTCTCTCTGCACGCCTGCAAGCGCGTCTAAGAGCGCTAGTACAGTCATTAAGCCACGGCTCTAAGAGAACTTTGGTGCGTCTAAGCGTAAAAGGAGCAACGGAATGTTTATGTTGTATAACTAAATGGGAAAGTCTCGTAGGGTTGTTAACTACGGACCTTATATCAGGCTTCAAACCAGAAACACCTTTAAAACCATTGCATTCTAGACTAAATGGTAAAATGCTTAGTCTCTAAGACTCTGCAGCTTGTTGCAAATGAACCCTTACATTAATGTCTGAACACATTATGGAAAGGAACCTTAGGATAAAATACATGTTTTACTCTACCTTAGGCTTATTCCGTTCATGCGACTTGTCGGTGTAAGGTAAAGGTCGGAAAGTGAATGACTTTTGTCAGAGTTTGTTGCATTGGCGTAAAGGAAGATTATACTTCTTGTCTAATAGAGTTTCAATGTTAGGGTTGAACATAGCTTGTTCAGACAAAGTGGAAGCACATGAGATTTGGTTAGATATAATAACAAACTGACAGGATCAAGAGAAATGTAAAGAAACATTTTTGTATTTCTCAGTAGGCTGCTTTCGATGTCTTCAGACACCTTTAATAAGAATCTAAGACTGTCCGTGGCAAAAACAAGCACTTCCACTGGATATACATTGACGGTGCGCAATGGCCCAAAGCAATTACAATGCAGCCTGTTTAGCAGATGCCGTCTGCAGCGCTTTCCCAACACTGGACACATTTTTTTAAAGTGGTGTCCCCATTAGTCACTTTGACAAAGAACAAGGTAAAAATACTAAGCTTGAAAAATACCTCAGCAACCCTTTGAGAGCATCTCAGAGAAATAGCAATTTTTCATCAAAACTTTCTGCAATTGTTCATTTATCATTTGTCAGTCTGCTGCTCACCTTACTTCACATTCTGATTCACTGCCCTTCCTTTTTATGTTTAATTGCATCTTGCAGATGTGCACTGTTGTCTGAAGATAATCACAACCAATGCATTAAAGGAGAGTCACTTGCTCTACAGAACAAAAGACGCTTCCAATTGATCAAATAACACTTTACACTGATTCCAAGAGATGTTGTAACCGGTAATCAGGTGTCCTCCGATCCAGTGGTGGCTTGACGGTCAGTGCAGCTGTGAGTTTCCATGTGATACAAAAACTCCAAAGGGTTTATTTCTTCCCACATTTACTAATAAAGACCTTTTTTGTAATTATTCAAAGCAAACATACAATGTGATTGGTCAATCACTCATATCCTCATTCATAGCCTTGTTATTGTGCAACCATTAAATGTGATGCCTTTCTCTCTACTTTCCCTATTTCATATATTATATTTAATTGGAAGGGAACCTCTTGTGCTTTTTGAGGTTTTCCCTTTCATTTAGTGTCTTATAAAGGTTTGTGTGCATGTAAATGGTCTGCAAAGGCCAAAATCCCAAAGTTCCCTTGAGTAATCTGTATAGGTCCTATGCATCTCGCGAAAGTTCAAAACACATGCATATACAGTACAGTACATAAGCACTAAGCACAAAATATGGCATAAGGTGGAAAATGCTGAATTACCATAATTTAAGTGATCCACGTTTGGCTACGATTGGTTGTTTCGCAAAATGGCTGAATGGTGCATCGCTTTAAATGCTGCGGCTGCAAATAATGGTGACACAGCATTATCTCCTTTTCTCTCTTAAAACATGGTCATGGTGTATCCTTTTGGTTAGGATACACCTAAGGACACAACAAGGGAAGTATTGAAGCTCCTTTCCTACCTATAATTTCAACAGCTCTTATCATGGCTGCCACTTTGGGGTCATGTCCCTCCATAAGGAACCTTCCTGAGTAAAAAGAAAATACTATTCACCACCCAGGTTTTCCTCACGTATCAGGAGCTGTTATGATCAGCAGATGCTGTAAATCGCAGCAATAAGTACTGACAAGTCCATCGTGTTTACATCGACAGGAAACAGATTTGTTTCCAGAGTACATTTCTCACTTTGGTTTGTGGCAAAGAAAACAAACTGTAGGTGTGATCGCACCAGGAGAGTGTGATCACAAACATGTTGACAAGTCATATTGGAGGAAAGTGTAGGGAATGGATATCCTGAAAATATGTTTCTGTGCCTGTTGCTCAGTGTCATAGTGTGTTTGTTGTCTATAATCTTCTTTGTTTAAAGGGGTTTTGTGTTTTTCTGTTTGTCTAAAACAATTGTTCAGCTGACCGTAGGATTTGCTATTGCCTTATTCACTCTAACATTCTTTTATTTTCTATTCTCTCTGTCCTCTCACAGATTTTATTTAGTCAGCGGTGGAGTGCCCCTCATCATCTGCGGGGTCACGGCGGCCGTCAATATAGACAACTATGGCAGCGGGGAGCAGGCGCCGTAGTAAGTCCTCCATTTGCTTCTGCTCTCAAGGTTAAATGACACACTCTGCTGGCAGTGGTGAGAGAAACAAAGTACATGCACTCGTGTATTATTCTATAGGGCCGTTTTGACATACTTGTACTTGAGTATTTATTTTGTATGCTACATATACTTCTACTCCCAGGCAAATATTTCACTTTTTATTCCATTACATTTATTTAACACTTTGTACGTACAAAACACAAAATAGGCTTATATGATTTGAGGCAGTATTGTAATACCCAGTATTTAAAAAATGATCTGAAATTGGCTTAACTTTGACAAACCACAACATTAATACTATATGACACTGTGAAAAGAGCCGTTCTTCCTATTTAGTACTTTTGATACTTGAATTACATTTGAATGTAATTCATTCTGAACTTATACTAAAGTATAAAACTAAGATAAATGTCTAAGAACTTCATGCACCTCTGTCTGTTGGTGCTTTTAAAAGAGGTTTCAAGCATGCTTGTACATGTGGTTGTATAAATGCTTTTGAAATGTGTGGGTAACGCTGCATTTTGGGGTCTTGTATGAGCATTTATTAACTAATAGAATAAGTGATAAGTAATAATACAAAAGGGTTCATGAACCTTAAGGTAGGGCATTGCTCTCACTTCAGAGCTGCAAAAAGAGGTGAATAGTCACGTAGCTATAAATACATAATAAAGTATGTATCACTCTAAGTAGATAAGAGTTAAGGTATGACATCATAGGTCTGTAAGTCAAACTAAATAAATGTGGTTTTATTGCGATGTAAAAAATGATTAAGTGTTAGAAATACCTTATAATCCAACAATAAACATATTATGATACTATTATTTAGTATTATTAACACATTATAATGTTAATAAGCATTGTGTAAGGACTTTTAAGGACCCTATTATATATTAACCACTATATAGGTATATTGTGTTGTATGTACTATATTATGCTTGTGAGAAGTATCTTTATACAAAGCAAAACATGTAAACCTATGTTATTGAGTTTATATAATTCAGTTTCTTAGTTCTTTTGAAAAATGTGAACATAAATCAAAGTATTAAAATGCACGGGTGTTCTTGTGTGTTGCAGCTGCTGGATGGCGTGGGAGCCCAGCCTGGGAGCCTTCTTTGGCCCCGTGAGCTTCATCATCCTGGTGACATGCATCTACTTCCTGTGCACCTTCATCCAGCTGCGGCGACACCCCGAGAAGAAGTACGAGCTGAAGCAGCTGACGGAGGAGCAGCAGAGGCTGGCCGCCGTCGATGTGCCCACCCACTGCCACCAGGGAGCTGAGCCGGGGGCCCTAGTGGCCCCGTCCGGTGGGGGCCACTGCCCCGCTGGCTGTCCGGGGGTTCCCATTAACCCTGCGCTGCTGGCCAATGAGCACTCCTTCAAGGCTCAGCTACGAACGGCGGCCTTTACCCTCTTCCTGTTCCTGGCCACCTGGACGTTCGGGGCCCTGGCCGTGTCGCAGGGCCACTTCCTGGACATGATCTTCAGTTGCCTCTACGGTGCCTTCTCCGTCACCCTCGGCCTCTTCATCCTCATCCATCACTGTGCCAAGCGCGACGATGTTTGGCATTGCTGGTGTTCGTGTTGTCCCGGACGAAATGCCGAAGCCCAAGGGGCCCCTCAGGCGCGACCTAAAGTCAACGTGAACGGAGACACCCCTGGGCATGGCCACGGTCACAGCCACTGCCACCATGACTCTCCGTGTCACGGTAAAGCAGTGATAACCTGCAGTCATGGCGGTTTAGCTCACTGTAAACACGCCGCCCTCCCCTCCTTGCAGAACCATGTGACGTGCCTGGCGCCGGTGGCTCCGTGCTGCGCGGCGATGCACAGCCAGCAGCTGATGGAGGAGGAGCCCGCGGCGACACACGTGCTGCTACACGCCGACCCGGAAGGGTACCGGCCGGGGATCCAGCTGCACCCCTGCCTAAAGAGCAGCACCAGGACTAAAAGCCGTCACTTCGGCCGCCGGGCCGGTGCTTGCGGGGCAGCGGGCGAAAAGGAGTACGCCTATCACATCCCCTCCAGCGTGGACGGAGGCAGCATGCACAGCTCACACACTGACAGCCCCCACAGCACACATGAGCGCCACGCCCACACCTGTCCACACCTGGGCCACGAAGGCCACCACGACGGGCATCACACGTGCCACTGCGCTGCCACCGCCGCCACGCACGAGGCCCTGGTGTGCCATAATCCCTGCCACAGGCACATCTGCTGCGCCAAGGCTGACCTTTTCCCCTCCCTGTGCCCGGCAGAGGCGGGCGACACGGGCATCTTCCTGTGTGGCTGCGGCAAAGTGGCCGAGCCGGACCCGATGGCAACACATCACCATCTGGAGATGCACGCCCCGCGCAGACAATCGTTCCCTCAGAACCCGCCCAATCAGAATGGGATTCTAAAGGGGGGCCTGCAAGAAGGACTCCTGTACGGCTCAGACAGCACGGGGAATATACGCACGGGGCCCTGGAAGAATGAAACTACTGTGTAGTGTGGGAGATGGGCGACTCCATGCCCAGTCCTGCCAAAAATAAACCCTTTCTAGAATTAAAAAAAAAGGAATTTAACATTTTAAACATCACAATCAGCGTGGGATATTTTAATTTGAATGTCCTCATGTTTCTATGCGTGCTGTTTTACTGTACAGAAATCATGTAAATGCTCATTGAAGAGCCTCCATACACAGAACAGATTCTCCTCCATAACACCATCAGATTGAATTGAAGGTTGTTCAGTATCACTACAGATTTCTCTATCTCTATAAATATATATATATATATAGATATATACAAGAAAATGAATGGTTGTATGTATGAATATGTGTGTTAGTGCTCAAAGGAAACACGCTGCAACATTTTCTTTTACACTTCCAATCTCAATCCATCGAATACTTTACGATGACAGTCCTCCAGTACTTTAAAGAGCTCTCCACATCCATGTTTTAGACGACAACTAAACCAGCAATTTTAGACTTCATGGGTATTTTTGAAATCCAGTCAAGCTACTGTGAACATACAAAGATACCGTTGCTTGTAAGAGATGTGTGGATTCTAGTTTAATTTGTAAAGCAACAGAAAAAGAGAAGTGAAGTTAAGAATCCTTTTTAAAGCCGGTATGACGTCTTCACTGTTGTATTTATCTTTTCTCGAAAGAAGTGAAAAACGGCAGTATCAAAAGGAACAGCGTCGGCCATTGTGAATAGAGAGTTGGTGTCATTGGATCCAGTGCCATCTTTTTAACACTGTGCCATAAAGAAAGGTCATTACAGACAGTTCATTGCCAAACTAGTGTGCAGGTTTTTGTATCCTCTTTAGCTCAGCTTTCATATGCAATCTAACATTATAAAAATATGGTTCATTGTTTACTCAAAAAAACAGTGTGAATGTGATCATAGAAGAAACAACAAGCTGCTTTGGGAAACTCCACTGTGACCAATGTCTATTATATTATAAATACTAAGGAAACATTTACGGCAATCTCACCCTCTATTAGCGAAAGCCACAGAATAACACATGGAGAAATCAGAGCAAATTCAGTCCATTTATATTTTATTTATTCGTAATTTGTCTCCTAAAAATCACAAAGCATGCATGCTTTGTTTTATGAGCCAAGTCTTAGATTTTGAATTCACATCCATTAAATTATTATTTGCCTTGCAGCTTGCCAATTATTATTTTTGACACGTATTGGATTAATCCTAGTCACCAAAAAATACTGTATTATTTTCATGCTGGAGATCTCTATTGAACAAAAATATAGCTGGTTTTCAACAACAGGAACACATGTTATCGAATTACTTGTAGTTGGTTTAAAATGTATACATTCAGATTTTAAAGTGGGCAAAGCTTTGTTGCTAAATTAAGAACCAATCTCCTTTTACTGAATCGAATTCTACCTACCCACAAAAAATAATAATTACATCAATGTACGTGCTGTCAGGACCTAGTAAGTAGGCTATAAAAGGTATGTGTGTTGGGGGGGACCTTACTTTGTTTGCCAGCTAGCTACTGTAGCTAAACATTTTGTAAGCCAAGCTGCATTCACATGATATGCGATTGGCTCTTTGCTCAACCCAAGGTTGGACACAGAGTTTTGCAGTAAAGATAGCTAGTTAAGATTTGTTTGTATGGTTACCTCCTTTGCTGGCATAAATGTCATCTGATTGGTTGCATGTCGAAAGCGTTCTGCAAAAAATGCGGAGTGGTGCGCAACGCCAAGGCTAGGAGCTGCCCTCTTAGTCTTTAAACTTGTGTTTGTTGTCTGACTTCTCTGTACATCAGTAGTGTATGTAATGCCCAAAGAAGCTTGCTGACTCACCGGACAGCTGGTATTGTGACAAAAACAAATCATTTACAAGACCTTATTCTATTTGCTAGCTAGCTAGCTAAAAGGTTAGTCAGTTAGGCCTTGTTTGAATCCTTGCTAACTACGAGGTTGGGCACAGAGTATTGCAGTGAAAACAGTTAGTTAGGTTTCGTTTCAATGGTAACCTGCCCTGCTAGCTTGCGCTACATCTTATTGGTTGCACGTCAAAAGTTCACTGGTAAAGGAGGTAAAAGTTAAAATAGTTTGAACTGCAATGTTAGCGCAATGTGAGCGCAGAGCCGTTACCGTGTATCATGTGAATGCAGCTTTGGCCTACAATTTCATTCATGATTTCATGATCCGCAAAGAAGTTCTAATTTCTCCTCCAACATAAAACTCAACTTGGGTTCAGTCTTCCCAGAAAATGTACTCTTTTGCCAAACATTTCTCAAAATGTGACAGCCATTTAAAAAGTGTTACCTTCCAAGGTTCAAGGTTAGTTTATTTCTATAGCACATTTTAAGACACAGAGGCAATTCAAAGTGCTTCACATAGGCATTCAACCTATAATAATTAAAAACAAAACAAACACACACACACCAAAAAGAAGACAGTTCATAAAAGCGATAAAATATTGTCTGCCAATATTAAAGTTAATACTAGATCACATTTACATTGATGCAACAGATTTCAATTTCATTTAGGTTTGAATAGGCTAAGTCCCCGTGCCATGACAATTTGCTGCGTGTCATCCCCTCTGTCTCCCCCTATCAACACTGTCACTTGAATAAAGGCATTAGTGGCCCAAAAGGTCTTTACAATTAATCTTTCTAAATTATTATTTTGTAAACTTGTTTAAAAATAATATTATATAATGGGTTTGAAAAGTAATCATTGTTGGTGCAACCCAGAATAAGCATATGCTAATGAGGCTAAATTGAATATGGAATGTTTTTGTTTTTGTACCATGAAGGTCACAATCTCTCTGAACTATTGACGCTCAAAGAGAGGCTCTTTATTGAATTCAAAGCACTTGTCTTGAATGATGATATTAAGTATGATGCTGCAGACAAAACCCCACATAAACATATTGTCAGCTATAAACGAAATCTATAAAAAAAATGACATCCAAGCAGCGCATATAATCTCACAGCAAACTCGCGAAAAACACTTGGCATGCACACCATCTCTTCATCCATCTCGTGCACTCTTGTCTGTGTATATTGAATCAGTTTCTGATTAATTATTTTATATGAGATTTAAGATATTTAAGATTAAAAAGTCTATATGTAATAGAAGTTGTATGGGGGGAAAAAGTGACCTCTCAATGTTACTGCTCAGTATCTGAGTTTAGAAATGTCCTTTTTGTTTTCTAATGAATTTTTTTCTGTTGATCTCATAAAGTATGCAGACTCGCCATGTTGTTGTGAGTTCATCCTGTCATATCAGAAATAGAAAACTGCACTACCCATGATAACATTTGGCCTGCTAGATTAGAATGTGTCACTTGCAGTGTGTTTATTATAGAAATGTTTGTTCAGACAGAAATATTTGAACAAAAAAAAGTGACAAAATTACTATTAATGTGATACTCCCTTTATTTGGATGGCAGGAATATTGAAAGGAGGCCCTAGTAAACATCGATTATGATGCATGAACCTCATAGCTTTGCACAGGACCACAATTTATTTCCAAGGTCTGTGGGAAAAAATATGAATCTCAGTAGTTATAAAACCATATTTGATCTCACAATATGGGCTTCTTTGAGCCTCCATACACTGGCAGTTACTGAAAAAGGGATTTGTAACAGTATCAGAACACAATATTTGAAATCACCTGCTTAACAAGAGAACATTAGGCTAGGTTCATTGCTGAGCTTGTGTATTTGCTGGTGGTGTGTCTTTAGGAGCAGCCCGAGCTTCTTACAGTCTGTAAGACGATGTGTTTGGTGTCCGACTTCTCTGTGCGTCAGTAGCAGATGTACTGCCCTGAACAAGCTTGCTGACTCACCGGACGGCTGCTGGAATATTCACCTGTGGTACTGTGACAAAAAAAACAACCTAAAGCCAGTTTTCACTTTTTTCTACATTGACACAGATTCCAATAAATGTATTTTTTCACCATGCAATGGATGAGAGCATTTTTGGCTTGTGTGTGATTTATGTAATTATGAGTGAAAGAAAATGTACGGTGACCGTCAGGTGCAAATGTGCTGCATTGACCCAAAACATTTCCATTATGAGAAGTGCGCTGCAGTCTTAAAAAAGTTGCAAATATAAAAACACAAATGTGCCAAAAACATGCAAATGAAGAAACATCTTGACTAAAAGCGCTGCAAAAATCGAAACACTGCATCACTAATAAGTGATGACCAATAAGTGATGCACACAGCTGGTAGTAGAACGCCTGACGTAAAAGTTTGGGGATTAAAAGTTAGCCAACTGTCACTGTTAACACAGTTAGCCTCATTCATAATTGAAAGCTTATAGTTAGGGCTGATTAGATTCAGCCCCTAGTTTTGCTGATATTGGCTTAGTTTGTCGGGGGACATCTTACTTCTTCCTTCTCTCTGTCTATACCTGTGTACTCTCATGTTCCGATTAACCCAGCTTCCTCAAATGTCTTTATTTTTGGTGTCTATATACGCCGGGATCCGGAGTCATGGATGATCCTGCGCTCCTCTGTCCTGGATCGCGAGCCCTGGATCTTGAGTCGTGGCTGTGGTCCTGGATCATAGGTCCTGGATGGATATCCTCGTGGATTCATCTTCCTATTATACACACATGCATTTCCAAACATTTGGACTACCTATGTTGCAAATGTATTATCTTTTCAATTTACACACGGCATCTATTGCACGTCTGTCCGTCCTGGGAGAGGGATCCCTCCTCTGTTGCTCTCCCTGAGGTTTCTCCCATTTTTCCCTTTAAACTGTGGGTTTTCTTCGGAAGTTTTTCCTTGTACGATGTGAGGGTCTAAGGACAGAGGGTGTCGTATTGTCATACTGATATTCTGTACAAACTGTGAAGTCCACTGAGACAAATGTAACATTTGTGATATTGGGCTATATAAATAAACATTGATTGATTGATAAATGTTTGCAATAATATTGGAAGAATCATGCAATCCCATTGTTTAAATAAGCCAATAAAATGTTTCAAGTGACAGAGATAGTTGGCTAACTTTATAATCCCTGAACGTCAACAAGCACTCTGATTCCAGCTTTGTGCATCACTTTTTAGTGTCCCCTGGTTACCGTTGTGTTTTGAGCTTTTTGCAGCGTTTCTTATTTGCAGCATTCATTTTCATGTTTTTTGCCACATTTGTGTTTTTTAATTAGCATACAGTAGCTTTTGAAACTTCAGCGCGTTTATCCTAATGGAATTGTTTTGGGTCGTTGTGACAAGTTTGCACCTTTCGGCCAATGTAAAAAAAAATGCATTTTAGTTTTTTCCGTCTCAATTCTCATCGTAATGTGTTTATTTCTTCTGACAGCGTGATGGAGATTGAGATGCCTTACAGAGCCACCACAGGGGAGGAATCCAAATGATAGTAGGCGTGTGTGTGTGTGTGTGTGTGTGTGTGTGTGTGTGTGTGTGTGTGTGTGTGTGTGTGTGTGTGTGTGTGTGTGTGTGTGTGTGTGTGTGTGTGTGTGTCTGTGTGTGTGTGTGTGTGTGTGTCCGCATCTGTAGCCTGCTATTGTCGCATTGTACCGCACTGTGAATGAATTAAAAGTAAATATATAAGTCGTCATGAACACATCTGTCCATCAGACTGTCATCATTAATGGACGTCTCTTTAAAATGACCGCTCAGAGGAGAGGAGTTCTCATTTCTCTAACTGCCTGCTGCTTCCCCTCCTCTCTCCTCGGTTCCCCTCCTCGGCTCCTCCGCTCGCATCTCCTGTGGGCGGGACTAAGTATCGAGGATAGGAGTCGAGGAGGGGAGTTAGAGAAATAAGAAAGGGCCAAAGTGTTTTCCCAGCAACGCAAATCACACCCAGGTTTGACAGGCCATAAAACGCCTGAGTACATTTAACATGCAGCTAGATTTTTTTGCTTTTTCAAGGCCACACGCCCACCCCCCCTCCTCCCTTCCGACCATCAGATTACTCGTCTGGCTGAAAGCTATGTGAAATGTCAGACCCCATCTCCCCCTCCCTATCTGATATGAAGACACAGTACTACACGGTGACCATTAAAGGTGAGTCATGGACGTTTCTATAAATAAAATACAAAGGGATTTTGTGTGCTACAGTGGTGATTATATAAAGTATAAGGCTATGATGACTTTAATTACCGAGGGTGTCTTTGAACCAATGAGTGTGTATTTTTTCCAGATAGTGATGTTGCTTTCAGCTTAAGCCCAGAGAAGAATAAAGGAAAAGGCTGCTCCACCCTACGGTTGGTGAAGGTTGCAATTGGCCCAGGCTGGCATCTGTTTCATTAAAAATTAATCTGGTTTTAGTAACACAGATGTGTGTTTGATACAATTAACTGTGTTTTAATTTACTACTGCAATTAACAGGTTTTTAAAGTAAGTGAGTAACAGCAGAGAGAGAGGGGGGAGACAAAATGAGAGCTGAAGAAAGAGAATGTGTGCTGCTGAGAAGGCAATCAACCTAGTGTAGCGACATCCTGGATTTGGATTTTGGAATATTGCAGACATTGTTTTGAAGCGTAACTGCCAGCAAATGAAAGTGCAAAGCAGTGAAAAGCAAACGTTAGGCTATAAACAAATAACGTCACGGTGGCATGATTTAGCGGAACCATTGCTAAGCTAAAGGTGGCAAATTATCGGCATGATGACGTGTAGTTGTCTCAATTAGTCACTTGATAACAATCGCTGTTTTTAGGACTTTTTGAAATGCTTCGGACATTAACCAGTGTACTGTTCACTGATGTATTTTAAGTCATAAAATGAAATGGAAAATCTCAAATTATTACGGAAATCTAACAAAAATCTCACACAAAAAACCCATTGACTTCTAAACCAGGGAGCCCGGAAGTGCTAACTCATTGCTAACTTTTCCTGCACCAGTATAATACTTTGTAATGTGTGGCACCCCTGGGATGTGTGACCACATTGATATAATAATTATTATTGTTTGGAGTTGGAATATGCCTTTGTTTTGTACATCTGTCTATTTTCATTTCGTTGGCGGGGTTGAGCAGTGCATTTGGTAGTGTGGCGGAACGTTTGTGTTCCGGGGACTGGTTAGACGGACGGACTTCCGGTGTTTCCTCAGAAGCAATCTGGAAAAAAACAAATAACCCGTGTCCTCATTGCTCCTGTCTCACCTGCTCATTACAGGTTGGTAAAAGGTGCAACAATTATATGAATCCCCCCATAATGTTCGCGTATATAGTGTGACGGCCCACTAAAAGTGTGGAGTGTTTGTAGCGATGTTTACATTGTAAAAGAATGTATGAATGTGTGTGCGTATTAGCTTAGCTTTCCCCATGCGGCGCCATCTTGGGGATAACGTGGACTCTCGACCGGCCCACCGCGGTGCTCGTGACTTTCCGCAGAGGTAGACATTAAGGGTAAAATGCTACTGGCATTATATTATCACTGGCCCCACCATTGTAACCACTGGCCCGGAGCATTCGTCCAAAAAAAAAATCGACTAATAATGAAGAAAATTAACACATTTGTTGCAATAGTAATGTATGCACTAACTACATTACTACTATACTACAACATTTGAATCATCAGTTCTTCCTCATTTTCCTCAAGTGTTCATATTTGGTTTATTAAAATAATTATATTGTGGTCATTTTTAAAAATGTCTGCTATTATTATGAGTATTATTATTTGTATAATGCACTTTCTGCCTTCCTGTCATTAGGAGTTAGACATGTAATGGCTATGTAATTGATTTGATTAGAATCTTCATTATCCTAAACTGCTGGGACATTTCGCCAATACCTTTATATTGTCTACTCTTCACTTACTTGTCAGCATAGGTCGGCATTGATGTACAGAGCCGACTAAAGACCTTGTTTATATTGGCATCATATTGAGAGGTGCATCCAGTGACGCTTCCTAAAACCAGGAAGTAAGCTGCTGGTTCCCTCGACAAAAAGCAATGGGATTTCTCCACAGAGTTTTGGAAAATAGCTGGAAATAAGGTCTGTGGAAAACAAACCTGTTTGATAAATGCACGTTTTGTTCAGCCGGATAATCTCCACATGTCTACCCTACTTTTATAATTTTCGAATTATAAATCTAATCAATAAAGGGTTTTAGGACGCGTCACTGCACCACTAGAAGCCAACTCCATCGATCAAGCTGGCTGAAACTTTCTCTCCCTCTTCTTCTCATGCTCCCTGTCACTCTCCTTTAACTCCTCCGGTGACTTTCTTTTATTTGAAGATTGTTTTTTGCCCGGCGCTTGGCCGGTTACCACTGGTATTAAAAACATTTTGGCGAATGGTTAGGTGGCGCGATAGTCTGTAGTGAAGGAGCGCGCTCCTGCTCCCGGTGCGCTCTGCAGCAAACAGCTGTTTGCTTTTCACCCAACAACGACAACCGACTCACGGAACGCTATGTTGTAGCGTTGATAAACGAAACAATTTACAACATTGCTAGTCAAAATACCAATACGACAGGACAATTATTTTAAAGCAATATTTTTAGTGGCCCGAGCGGGCAAGTGGAAAGTAGGCTACGTTATGCTGGCCCGGGGTGTCTAAATAGTGGTTCCGTGCCAGCGGGCCATTTATAATGTCGAGCCCTGCCGGTTACCGGCCGGCCCACATCGTCCGACCGGCCCACTTCAGTGCCAGCCCATCGGGATACGTCCCGATGGCCAGTCCGCCCCTGTCTGACACGGAGATGGTGCGAGTGAGATAGTGTGTCTGAAGGCTCCCGCCCACTAAATATTTCCATACATGTGAAGTTATGAATACATATGCACCTTATGAAAGGTGTAGTTTAGGTAGTGTTATACTGGATGTTTGTTACACAAGTATGCTGTAGTGTTTGTAGCATTATGATTCTCTAGTTTAAATGCATTTTTGTGACCTGCAATGAATGGCAGAAGGGTAATTACAGTTTCAAGGGATATTTAATACAGGTTTCATACTGTAAAACAAGATGTATGAAAGGTACACAATATTGGTGA